CCCCCCTCACGCTCCCCCTTCAAATGGCTGCTGGGTGGCACTGGATGACCTCAGATCTTCCACCCGGAGACCACCGACATCTACGACAAGAAGAACATGCCCAGGGTGGTGTACTGTCTGCACGCACTCAGGTTGGGGGGGTCCCACTCCCACACCCACCCCCCGTCTGCATCACTGCAGGACGGGCGCCTCTCCCTGCTGTCCCTGCTGGTGGGGCCACCCCATTCGGGGGCTGTGGCGCTGCAGACCCCCCTCCTGTCCCAGCAGTGGGGTGGGAGCTGACGCTGCGCTCCGTCCCGCAGTCTGTACCTCTTCAAGCTGGGGTTGGCCCCACAGATCCAGGACCTGTCTGGGAAGGTGGACTTCACCGGTACGGCCCTGCGCGGGGGCTGCGGCTCTGGGTCCCTCTGGGGGGAGGGAGGGGGGGGGGAGGGGGGGGAGGGGGGTCGTGGTGCTGGGGTCCGAGCGGTGCCATCTCCCCTGCTGCTCCAGAGGAGGAGATCAGCGACACGGGGCGGGAGCTGGAGAAGCTGGGGCTGCAGCTGCCCGCGTTCGGCCGCATCGGGGGCATCCTGGCCAATGAGCTCTCGCTGGATGAGGCAGCAGGTGATTGGGGGGGGGGAACATCCCTCTGTCACCCCCCGACCCCAGACGTGGGGCTGCCCTGGGGGGTCTCGGCGGGTGGGCAGCCTCACGCGTCTCCTTTGCGCGCTGCCCACAGTGCACGCGGCCGTGCTGGCCATCAACGTGGCGGTGCAGCGCGGGGATGCAGCGCAGACCATGGAGGCGCTGCTCCACCCCGGGGCGATGCTGCGGGGGCTGCGCACGGCGCTGGCGGCCGCTTACCAGGATGTACTGCGCGGGGCTCAGAGGGAGAAGGGCGGCCGCAGGGAGTGGGTGAGAAATGGGGGACTGGGGGGTGAGGGAGGCGCTCGGCTCCTGCAGGGCTGGGGGAAATCGGTGAGAAATGGGGGGTTGGGGTCTTTTTTTCTTTACTCTTTGGGATGTGGGTTGGGAAGCGAGCGGGGGATGCAGGACGGTGACAGCGGCACCTGCAGGTCCCAGAGGAGGGGGAGGACATCTACACCTGCTGCCTGACGCAGGCGGAGATCCAGGGGAGCATCAGCAGGGCCAACGGTGAGCCGTGCGCCCGCTCTCCTTCGTGGGGGGCTGTGGCCCCACCGTGCGTTTCCATGGAGAGATGTCAGCTTTGTTTGGTGCGGGGGTTCGCTCTGACCCCTGCTGTGCCCCCCTGCAGTGCACGCGGCTCTGGAGGAGGTGGATGATGCTGTGCAGAGAGGGGATGCGCTGCTGCTGCACCGCGCGCTGCAGGACCCTGCGCTGAGCCTCCCGCGCCTCCAGCGGGACGACCTGCAGCTCTGCCTGGAGCAGCTCCGTGTGCAGCGGCAGCAGAAGGCTCTGGTGGGGGCTCGGAGCGGCGGTGCCCGCGTTGGGGGGCTCTGGGTGGAGTTGCAGGGGTCCCCAATGCTTTCTGCATCCATAGGAGCTGGGCTACGTGGAGCTGCTGGATGAGGAGGAGGTGGCCGTGGGCATCCAGGTGGCCAACGAGAGGGGAGAGGAGGAGCGAGCCAGTGAGTGGGCATGGGGGGGGATGTGGGGCTGGAGGGGGGATCCTACAGCTAGGATGGGGAATGGGGGATGTGGGGTTGTATTGGGTGGGGGTCTGCAGTAGGAGGTCAGGGTAGGGGAGCTCTGGATCCTAGGAAAGGAGGGATGTGGGGCGGTGTGAACTGGGGGGGTTCTGGGGGACCTGATCTTATAGATGAGGGTGGCCGAGGGAGAAGGAGGGAGGGGGTGGGAGTGTGTGGGGGGCCGGGAAGGAGGGGCGGGGGAGCGCGGAATCCAGAGGGGCTGCAATGGGGCGCGGCTCCGCGCGGCTCCTCAGCCCCATCCCCGCTCTCTCCGGCAGCGCTGCGGGCTGTGAGCGCCATCAACGCGGCCATCCGGCGGGGGATCCCGGCTGCCACGCTGCAGGCGCTGCTGGAGCCGTCGGCGCAGCTCCCAGCCGCGCTCCCCCACGCTGCCGCGCTCTACCAACAGCAGCTGGCGCTGCTGCAGCGCCAGCACCCGAGGGTGGGGGTCGCGGGGCGTCGTGGGGCGGGAAGAGGGGGGGGCCCGCTGGGGGCTCAGGGTGCGTTTGTGCCCCGCGCAGGGCGAGCTGCTGCACGAGGAGCTGTTTGTGGCCGTGGAGATGCTCTCGGCCGTGGCGTTGGTGAACAGAGCTCTGGACGCCGGGAACCCCGAGGAGCTCTGGGCTGCGCTGCTCAGCCCTGCGCTGGGGCTGTCGGGTGTGGAGGAGGAGAATGCGCGGTGGTGAGGGATGGGGGGGGTGGGTGAGGGGGTCTCTGGGGGGTGGTGGGGAAGGTTGGGTCCACAGCTCCTCTCTCTGCTTGCCTGGGAAGGGAGGAGGCTGGCTGGGCGGTGGGCTTCCCTGCCTCCCATCATCGATTCTTTATAATTGGAAAAGCCCTCTTGGATCGCCCGCTCCAAACCCCCCGTTCCCCCACTGCACCCAGAACCCTTCAGGGGGGGGAAGGCCCGCCCCCCAGACGGGCCGGGCCCCCCCCCCCCCCCCAGTGCGCTCAGAGTCCCTCAGGATGGAAAACCCCCCGGAGGTCACCTCGAGCTGTAAATCCAGCCATGCTCCTTAAGGCTGATGGCATCTCGGAGATCATTCCGTGCCCCCTCGTGGAGCTGTTAAGGTTGGAGGTCTCCACGTCCAGCAGCCGACCCGTGGCCCCCTGTGCCCGCTCACCCGCGGCATCGCTCAGCTTGGAGGAGACCTCCGAGTCCATTCCCTCCCCCTCCCATCCCCGCTCAACCGCCCCCAGGCAGCAGCCCGACTCTGCCCATTTCTGGGGTCGGTAAGCTTGTGAAGACCCCCGAGGTCACCCAGTCCGACCGCGGACCCCCGCTCTGCCCTGCCCCGCGTTTCCCCCCGCCCCCCGCAGGTACTTCGACTCCTTGCTGCAGCTGAAGGACCGACGCAGGAAAGCCGGGGCGGAGTTCCTGAGCTGGACCGACATCCAGGACGGCGTGAACGCCACCAACTCCTCGGTGCGAGACGAGAACGACCGTGAGTCGCGCCATGCCGCGTCCCTCCGGGAGAGGGCAGGGAGCCCGGCGGCGCTACGCGGGGCCCCACAGCTTCCCGTCCCGCAGGGCTGCTGGCGGTGCGGCGCATCAACGCGACGCTGCAGCTCGCGGACCCGCAGAGGACCTTGGCGGCGTTGCTGCTGCCCGCGGCCGCTCTGCCCGACGTGCTTCCGCCCAACGCCCCGCGCTACCACCGCGTCCTCAGCCGCGCGCGGGCGGCCAAAGCCCAGGTGCGGGGCGGGGACGCGAAGGGCGGGCCGGGGGCTGCCCGGCTGGCTGGACGCTGATCCCCCTCCCCGATACTTCAGGCCACCGAGGACGGCGGAGCTGAGCTGTGGTGGGAGGAGATCGAGCGCGGGGTGCGTGCGGCCAACGAGGAGACGGCGGCGGCGAGGCGCAGTGAGTGGGGCTGCGCCGGGCAGCTCTGCACCCTGTCCCCCCCGGTCCCTCCACCCATTTCTGCACTTCTCCTTCCTGAGACTCTGATCTTTGATCCGCCCTATGCTCCCTCTTCCCCAGGACCCCCATCTCTGCACTCCTCCTCCCCCAGCCCCATCTCTGTAATCCCAATCCCTGAGTCCCTCCTCTGTCCCCCCGAGTCCCCCCACCTCTGCCCTCTGTCTCCTCGAGCCCCCCATCTCTCCACCCCGCATTCCCTCTCCCTCAGCCTCTCATCTCTGCGCTCCCCCTCCCCGACTCCCCCGCCCTTCCTCACCCCACCCCCGTTCCCGCAGTGGCTCTGGGCACAGCCGCCATCAACCAGGCCGTCAGGGAAGGGCGGGCGGCGCAGACGCTGCGGGTGCTGCGGAACCCGGACGTGGGGCTGCGCGGCGTGCGGGACGCCTGTGCCGCGGGGTACCAGGAGCAGCTGCAGGCGCTGGCGGCCACCAAGAGGCCAACGGGTACAGCGCGGGGATGGGCGCCCCCAGTCCTGTCCGGGGAGGATGCTCAGCCCTGGTAGCACAGCGGCCGTACGCGGGTTGCAGGGAGCACCAAACCCCGCTGGGTGCGGCACCGCCTGCAGGACGGCTCCGAGTTTTACCTGAGCCTGCAGAGCTTCGAGGGCAGCTGGGAGCGGCCAGGCGATGGGGAGCTGTGTGCCACGCACCTGAGCCGGGAGGAGATCCAGGTATGGGGCAAGCAGGGCAGCGGGGCCGGGGCAGTGCTGTGCAGAGCCGTGGGGGCGCCGGCCCTGGGCTGCCTGAGGCCGTGGGGGGGAATGGGGGCAGTGGGCAGCCTGAGCTGGGGGGCAGGGAGGTCCCCACCAACCCAACTGTGAGCCCGAGGTTCTGCACTCTGTAGGATCCCTTCCAACCCAACCGTGCTCTGATTCCATGCCCATAGGATCCCTTCCAACCCAGCTGCGCTGTGACCCTGTGCTTCTATAGTCCATAGGATCCTTTCCAACCCAACTGTGCTGTGATTCTCTGGTCTGCAAGGACCCCTTCCAGCCCAACAATGCCGTGGTTCCATGATCTGTAGGGCAGCTCCCAACATAACCAGACTCTAATCCTGTGTTCAGTGACCTGCAGGGTCCCTCCCAACCCGTGCTGTGATCCCATGGTCCCGTTATGTAAGAGATCCCTTCCAGCCCAGCCGTGCTGTGGTTCCATGCTCTGTAGGGCAGCTCCCAGCCCCGCGGTGCTGCGGTGCCGTTTCCTGATCTCTGGGGTCTCTCAACCCAACCGTTCTGCCCTTCCATTCAGGTCCGTGGGGTCTGCAGGGCTCCATCGAAATGCTGAGGTGTGCAGAAACGCCTGCAGCCTTCTCAGCACGTGGCCTGGTGCTGCGATTAGCTGCAAAAAGGACATGGAAATTCTTAGCAAAGCGCCCTAGAAAACTTGGGAAAAAAATCAGGAGTTGTTGTGAGAAACTGCTCTGAGGAGTTACTTTTTTATGGAGGAAAAAAACCAAGCAACTCTTTCTTACCAACTTGTTGGTATAAATGGGCAAGGAGGAATTTTCCTTTAATTTCTTGGATTTTTTCCATTGCACATTTAAATTTTGTGCCCTCTGAGCATTTGGCCGAAATGGGAGCCAAGCAGGCAGGGCGAATTCTGGTTACACCACGGCGATGTTCAGATCCCGGTCTGGCCTCGAGGTGCCGAGGTTCTCTTTGGTTTTACGGCCTTCGGTTCAGTGCCAGAAGGGAGCGCAGCCGCTGCTCTGTGCACCTCCGAACTGCTGCCCGCTCCTTGTGGCGGCACCCGCTGCTGCCTCGGGGGGCCTCGCTTGGGGGCTGCTGAAAGGTCCCTCCGTCCTGCGGCAAAACGTCTGCGCCGAGCTTTAACGTAGACTTTGGTGGATCCTGGTTTAGATGTGGCACTGAGGGACATGGTTGGGTCGGTGTGGGGCTGGGGGCTGGGCAAGGCAGCTGGATGTGAGGTTATGGGGCTGGTTGGGGGGTTATGGGGTTGGTT